CTCCCCTCTTCTCCTCCTCCTACTCCCTTTTCCCCCTCCTCCCTTCACCTCTCCTCCTTCTCCTCCTCCTCCCCCCTCCCCGCCTTGAAGAATGCTTTGTCTTCTGTAGATGATTTAGTAATACTTTATTTTTTTCAACAAGCACTTCAGGTCCTTCTCAGTTTTTAGCCAGCAATCCTGTGTAGTGGAATTGTCAGTGCAAAGGTATGCATTTTTAATTCACCAGTTGCTCCTGAATAATCAGATAGGCAATCTCCTTTCATTTGATTTATTCCCTCTGAAAACCTATTGGAGGGTCAGCTGTGGGTCAGTTCTAATTTGATGATTCAACATTCTTTATATGCTTGATTATTTGTGTTTTCTCTCCTTAGGAAAAATTAGATGTAGGAGTAAGGAAAGAAGTTGATGGCATGGGTACATCTGAAATAAAGTATGGTGACTCAGTATGCTATATACAACATGTGGATTCAGGCCTGTGGCTGACCTACCAGTCTGTGGACATGAAATCAGTCAGGATGGGGTCTATACAACGAAAGGTAAGTGTCTGAAGCTGCAAATTCAGTAGTAATGATGTGTGATTAACATGCTTAGCTACCAGATGAAAGAGATAGCTCACCATTTCTTCCACTTTTAATTGTTTTTTATAACACGAATGCTACTGAGAGTATGCCTAAACTAAAAACTTAAAGGAGTATTGTATTTATACAGATTATATATATTTCTATTTGTATATATTTTTATGTATTGTATTTATATATTTAAATATTATACATTCTTCTAGCTTCTGGATGCTCATGCTGTTGAGTTTGCCTTTCCTGTTTCAGCTAGGATTATGTTTCTGAAAGCAGTAGTGCTCATGTACTCTAACAACTTTAAGTCCTATAGGCACATCCTATTGCTCATAAGATTAAGATCTAATTTTTTGTTATCAGTATCATACACTTAGCCTGGCCTTCTGTGTCACCTCTGCCCCAACCCCAGAAACCATCTTCAGTTTCCTTCCTAGCCATAGCTACCAGACCCATGCATTTCCTCTGAAGATCTTGGTTTGCACCCATCTGTGCCTTTACAGAGACAATGAGTCTTCAGGCTGTGAACATCTGCTTATAGACATTTCATGATTATTCTTTTGTGGAGTTTATCTTTTAATATGAATTTTCCTAACCATTGTTTGAGGGTATCTGTGAATGGGGTAGCCTATCAACAATGGTACTGGCTAGCTACCATTCCATAAGGGGATATGCCAATCTCAACAATCTATGAAGGGATTGGCTAGTCTCACCATTGAATTGAGCAAATCATCAGCATAAGATAAACAGATCTTCCCCCTCCCCCACCATTGAAGAAGTAGTAAGAGAATAGAGGGCACCCTTCTTGCTCCAGTTATACCTACGGCAGTAACAACAATGGCCTAACTGGATATTTAATGTGAAATGGGACCTTGGTGGGGAGAGCCAATATAAGCAAGACTGAGAACTTTGATGGACAACTAGAGGTGGTGAACGCCAATATTGGCAGGACTGAGAAATTGGAAACATGGCCTAAAGCCATAAGCCTTGAGGCTGAGGTTCCTGTGTTCACATTTCAGGAGCTGTCTTAACTGTGTTCTGCTACCAATCTATACAGTAATTTTTTTACTTTCCCAACCTGATTATGTACGGTCTGTGATTGGATTTTGGACCCAGCAAATAAATAAGAATTGGTGTTGAGATGAGTAGAAAGGGTTATGAGAGCATGGATAACATGTCCGACCTCATGGGAAATGGTTATTGATGCTGTTGGTGGGGACAGTTTTCCTTTGTGACATTAGTAAAGTTCAGATATGGCCATCCCTAGGTAGTCCTTGCTTTTTTATATCTTTAATGTCATTTCCTTGAATTGATAGGTCTGTTCATACTTGCGACAAATTCTTTCTTCATCGTAAAGCACCTTCACTTGTTGTGTGTGGAGTTTAAAAGTTACATTGAGCAGGCTTTGAGTTTTTTCTTTCACAGCTTATTGTTGTCAAGTTGGATATTATTTCTAGCTGACCCTCGTTTGGGTTTCCAAGACTATATAACATTGGAAGCAGGAGTGGCATCCACTTCCTAAACAGTATGTGTCTGTGAACTTTGATAAATGATGATGATTGTGGAAGGGCTTCAGACCTTTTGTTCATTGAGTTCCTATGAGTCATGCTCGATTTGAAGGCAATCAACAACAACATCACATTGGAGGAAATTGCCCATCTTTCTTCCCTTGAACTTTTGTTTGGCACAGCATTTAGGTTAACAGTGCAATGCCACACAGACTAGGCCTCTAGGACACCAAAGCAAGGCTAAATTAGAACTGAACATACCTGTTCTAGTTTACCTGCACATTTGAATTAAAGACCTTGTTAAAAATGGGTTGTGTTTATAACTGTTTCTTCAGTTCAGAATACTATTTTTAGTTTGTTGTTGTTGTTTGTTTTATCAAAGTGCTTTCACTTATTCTGTAGTTTTTCTTGTGACTTGAGTAAATATTTACAGAGAACCTTGGTATTCCATTCAACAACTCATACATATTTTGGTGTTTTTCTTTTTTTATTGCTTTGCAAACAAGAATTTGTATACCTTGTGCATGCTATAATTCATATGCCTTGTATCCCATTCATATGTTTTGTGTCTGATACTAATTTTTTGTTGTTTCACACCATCATTCATATATCTTGTTTTTTATATCCTTAATTACTGTTTATATATGCCTAATACCTGTCTTTTCAAGTCCCTGTTGAATTTTTCCTATTCCTTCACGCTCTATCCACCACTAAACTCTGTTATGTTAGTGGTTTTACTCCTCCCCCTTTTCCTGCTTTTTTATCCCTCCACCATGTTGGAAAAGTCTGCCATTTTGGTCTTGATAGTCTCAATTCTATTTCCATGCATTTCTGTTATTTTCAGTAGTACTATGTTTGTTGTACCCTCTCTATTGTGTGATGTATTTTAAAAATTCTTATATTCAGTTCTTCCATCATTCATAACATCTTCAGTCATTTATGTCACTATATTTCCTCTGCCTTCCTATCTCTGGGGTATTGATTGGTCTTGCACTCTGATATGCTTTTTCAGGAGGTTTCTTTTGTTGTTTGTTGTTGTTGTTCCCCCACCCCCCATAATATTTGAAGCTGACTACTGCTTCCTTGACATTATGTGAAGTTCTTTTTGGTATGGATGAAGCCATTTCTGTTGTGTCTGTATATGTTGTTGACAGTTCCTCATTTTTATGATGCTATTGATAAGTTGCAGGTGGTACTTGTTGTCTTTGATTGAGTTTCCTAATGGTGGTCATCCCTGCTGGTCAGCTACAGGTAAATTTATGCCCTGTTTCCTGTAGCAAACTTCTCATCTGGTTGTCCTTTGAGGGGCAAGGAACTGAAGTTTTTCCCTTTATTCAGCTGTGGTGAACCTGTTTCTCTGTCCTGTCCTATAGTTTTATGGGACTGGGGAGATATCACCCAGAATTTGACAAAGTCCCAGGAGTGCTGCACAGAATATATTCCTTAGGAGAAAAGGCAAGTAACAAGGACCAAACAGTGCCACCAACAAGTCTTAGTAGTTGCCATGTGATATCCTATCTAGACCAAGAAGCTATTGTCTGAACAGTGCAAGGGAACATGTTTCCATTTTTTTTAAAGGAGTGCATCAGGGATGTGTCCTTTCTCTATACTTTTTCAATTTGTATGTAAAAGATCATTTGGAAGGCTGGACTTTCTGAAGAAGAATGTGGCATCAGGATAGGAGGAAGACTCATCGACAACCCGTGTAATGCATAGGATATAAGTTTGCTTGCTGAAACTGAGGAAGACTTGAAGCATTTGCTGCAGAAGGTCAAAGACTGCACCCTTCAATATGGATTGCATCTCAACATCAAGAAAATAAAGATCCTCACCACTGGGTAATAGGCAATGTTATGATAGATGAGTAAAAGATTAAGATTGTTAATGATTTCATCTTGCTTTGATCCACAATCAATTCTCTTGGCTTCAGACCTCAGGAAATAAATATAGGAGTTGCATATGGAAAATCTGCTATCAAAGTTCTCTCCAAGGTGCTAAAAAGTAGTGACTTCAGTCTAGAGCCTAAGGTGTTCCTGATCCAGGCTATGGTCTTCTCAATTGCTTGCTCTGCATTTGAGACCTGACAATGACAAAGGATGACAGAAGAAGAATCAATGTCTTTGAATTGTGGTGCTGGAGGAGTAAATTGAACATACCATGACCACCAAGAGAACAAACTTGGAGAGGGTGAAACCAGATTGCTCCTTAGAGGCAAGAATTTTACAGCCGTATCCAACCTTGCACATGTCTCTAGTAGGGACCAAACCTTGGAGAAGGGCATCATGCTTGGAAGGGTGGAGGGTCAGCACAAGAGAGGAAGACCTTGGATGAGATAAATTGAAACAGTGACTGTGGCAGTGGAGTCAAGTGTATCAGATGGTGAGGTTGACTTAGGATAGGGCAGAACTCAGAGCCTTTGTTCATAGGGTCACTGTGGATCAGAGCCATTGTTTCTAGGGTCATTGTGGCTTTTAGTCTATTTGATGGCACATAACAGCAACAATGACAATGGCTATGTGACTGTCCCCTCTCCTGAGGCTGGCTGTGGGGTGGGGGGAGCTATTCCCCTCGAAGCAAATAAAGGCTCATGGAAGCAACACCTTCTCCATATTGCAGCTCCCAATTCCAGCAACTTGCTACAGTCTGAACCATTCCCTCTCACTTAGGGCTGTTTGGGGAAGAACTGTTCCTGCCTGAGCAGACAAAGGCTTAGAGATATATTTTGTGTTGTGCTGTTTATTATAATCCCCATATTTTATTATCACTCTCCATCCATCTATCCATCCATCCATCCATCCATCCATCCATCAATCCATCCATCCATATATCTCTCTCAATCTTTCATTCTCTGGCTCTTGTTTGCATTTATCCTTCTGTCCTCTCCCTTCCTCCCTCCTGAGGTTTACCATTGGGTAAATGCTGCCCTCATGGATCTTGTGTAGTTTATTCTTCTATGGACTTTGGTGTTATTGTTCACCTTATATACTTCTCTGTTCTTCAGTAATGCTAACGTCAAAATAGGCCCTATATTTTCCATCTTTGGCAAGCATGGACCTATTTTTCATAGTTTACAGAATTGCTAAGACACTGAAGAGTCTTGCTTGGTTGTTGTTTTAGGTCATCAAGAGTTAGTCTAAATGCTCTCTACCTATTACTGAATTACAGACTAGAATTGCTATGTAATATTTTCCTGTCTGTGTTTCTATTCTTTGCCATCTGTCCTTTGAGGACAGAGCTTAGTCAGACATTTCTTCCTCACTGCCCCCTGTGGATTTGAATGACCACATTTAGTTTAACAGAAAATTGTAGACTGTTTCCATCACCCAGGTATCTCTGTAAATTGTATCACTACTTCTAAAGTCACATGCATTAATGAACCCTTACAGGGAGGGTTCGGTGTGGTCAGGATACACTAGAATGTCCTCAGTTTGGGACCTTATAACTTTATATTTTCCCTCT